AGCAGCAAGAAAAGTTCTTGACCAAAATTTAGTAAGCAAATGGATTTTTAATGACTTATCCCTTTAGTACTGTTTTCAGAAAGAGTTTTATGTATCTTTTAGATATGCTAATAGTCACTAGATGGAAAATTAATCAGAGGTTAAAGTTATTCAAATGAGAACTTAACATTTTGAAGAATTTGTAAGAAATATATCACAGCAAAGCATTGTTACAAGTCTTTAATTTTTGACTCTAATGGTTAATAAAATTATAGTTAATCTTAAGCCATTTTATTTCTAATTATGTCACACAGTTGTCCTAGAACTTATCTATTTAAAATAGTCTCTGGAGTTAATTTTGGCTACCAGGAGAACTGCCCTAATTCTGATAGACTTAGAGTAACCTACATACAAGAAATGCGCATACACATAGATGCTCCTTTGCTGGAGAAACTTACGACCCTGTCAGCGTTTTAAGGGAAATAGCAGAAATGGTGTTCCAAAGGATGTTGATGCAGCTGCTTTACCTTGCTCATAATCAAACCCATACATTCTAGGTTAAAACCGTAGGAATCAAAAGTAAATTAATTCATATTTTAATCAGTCATTTTAATTGAGGTTTAAAGTTAGGAGGTTAAGCCAGTGGTACTGTATATAAAGAACTAATTTTAATACAAGTCCCTTCCGTACTGTATGCTTTACAAAGGTAGGCATACGTAAAATATTAAAAGTATAGGACAAAATGTTTTCACATTCATTTCAGTTATAATGTAATTCCTAATTCTGCTAACACAGTTGAGATGTGTTATGAGCTATGGGTACTCATTGAGAAAAGGAAGTTTTGGCCGGGTGCGGTGGCTCACACCTGTAATCCTAGCACTCTGGGAGGCCGAGGCAGGCGATTGCTTGAGGTCAGGAGTTCGAAACCAGCCTGAGCAAGAGCGAGACCCCGTCTCTACTATAAAAATAGAAAGAAATTAATTGGCCAACTAATATATATAGAAAAAATTAGCTGGGGATGGTGGCACATGCCTGTAGTCCCAGCGACTTGGGAGGCTGAGGCAGTAGGATTGCTTGAGCCCAGGAGTTTGAGGTTGCTGTGATCTAGGCTGATGCCATGGTACTTACTCTAGCCTGGGCAACAAAGTGAGACTCTGTCTCAAAAAAAAGAAAAGGAAGTTTTTCTAATCCACATATGTTAAAAGAATACTGAGTTTTCTTAGTTGTAAAGCTGGGGAGATGGCACCTTCTCAGAGGATTATATGAAGAAGAAATAAAATAATGCACATAGCATCACAAGCCTACACAAAGACATTCTATTGTTACATTCTGCTTCTATGCATTTTTATAGATCATTCTTTCCAGTAACATAGTGAACCCTTTTGTTTTGCAAGCAACCAAGAAAAGATCATCTTAAGTGGAAGATAGGTGGTGTTTGTGGAAGCTTAGGGAATGGAAACCCACAGGCAAGAATAATAATGAATATTTATTATTTGTAGAGCTTTATTAATTGGATATTTAAAGAAAATATCTTTATTCACAGGTTTATTACTATGGTTCTCAGGGAACCCAAATACATAGATCTTTGATTCCTTTACCTGAAATAGTTTAAGAGTACTTGGATCAGCAGGATATTCATTGAATCAGTCAGACAGTTAATATGATCTTAGGGATAGACCTCTTATGGGAAGAGGTAACAGAGATCCAGAGAGGTCAAGTAATTTAGTTCTAGACTGTGAAAATGATATAAATGCCTTTGCTCCAATTATATGTGGCCAAAAGAATGATAACAAACATGGTTTAGTAGCTCCCTGAGGATTTACAAAGAGTTGCCCCTCTGTCATTTCCATATCTTCAGAAGGTATGACAGCTTTTCCCTATTTATGATTACTAGTAATAACAAGTATTAAGAGTTTCAAAATTTCTCCTAGAAGAAATTTTCTTCTCCTAGAGGAAATATTCTTCTCCTAGAAGACTAACAAGTAGGGAGGAGAGAGAAGAGGGTATCTGAAAATGAGAATAAGGAAAAATTGGGGGGAACAGTTGTAACAATAGGGAAGAGAATATCAGGGGTAGAGGAGACAGAAAGGTAGCATGCTCCTGAAGACTCTACACCCTCACGTTGAAAACAGTGATAATATTTTAGGCAACAGAGGAGTCCTAGATCTTTGCTAAGTTTTAGAATGAATTATGGGTAACATAAGAGCAGAACCTATGGCTGTTAAGACTTAGATCAAGGTACACCTGGTGTATAAATTCTTAGCATACAGGGATTGCATGTATGTTTTTCCAGTGCCACACTGTAAAAGGTCAGCAACAGGTAGACATTCTGTACATAAGACTCATGTACAGGTGAAATAGACTTTCAGAGGTAGAGCCTATCCATGTCAGGACCACATCTTTGCATACAGTTAAGTTCAATTCAAATCAATGTATTCTTTCCCCATCACTAACCTAATACATGAAGGAAGTTTAGTTGTCTCAGAAGCTTTTCAAGAGAGAATCAGGGCCGGGCGTGGTGGCTCACGCCTGTAATCCTAGCACTTTGGGAGGCCGAGGCGGGCGGATTGCTCAAGGTCAGGAGTTCGAAACCAGCCTAAGCGAGACCCCGTCTCTACCAAAAATAGAAATAAATTAATTGACCAACTAAAAATATATATAGAAAAAATTAGCCAGGCATGGTGGCGCATGCCTGTAGTCCCAGCTACTTGGGAGGCTGAGGCAGTAGGATCGCTGAGCCCCGGAGATTGAGGCTGCTGTGAGCGAGGCTGACGCCACAGCACTCACTCAAGCCTGGGCAACAAAGTGAGACTCTGTCTCAAAAAAAAAAAAAAAAAAAAAGAGAGAATCAGGAGAAATTAATGCACATTCAAAAGGAGAATCTTTCATCCTAATTTGTACAAATGCAGAATCTCATCTTTAAATCACAAACAGGCTTATTAATTGACCATTTTCTTCTCACTTCTAAAAATTCATTTAGCTGCAACTGTTACTTAATTTTCCTCATTTCATTAAAAATGTATGTCTAATGCTTTTCTAAAATACTGGATAATGTACTGGAAATACAAATAAATGCTTTCTATGTAGAACTTCCTCTTGCATCTTGTGCTTTTCATAGAGTTATGGGGTGTCATGAACAAAGTTGTAAATGTTGTACTTGTTGGCCATGTCTCAGATGGAATAAGTTGGAGAAATCTGGGATCCTGAAGCTTCTGCAAAAAACTCAAAGTGATTGAAATTTCTTTGAATGCTGGCCCCAGACTTCTATGTGATCTCTATCCTAGGAACAGGTAGGACTGTGTGTGAGCCACTACTACTCATTTTGCCTAGATTAGTGGCAAACCAAATCTTGGCTGCCTTTCCTCAGCACTTACTGATCTGTTTTGAGAAGACACAGGATGTAAAACCTGGGGACCCAAAGAAGAGTCCTTCTCCCTAAGGCTTCAAACATAGCTGGTTTGGATAGCTACTCCATGCCCCTTGTCTGGAACCCACTGTGATCCTGGTGGATCTTCTAAGAGTGGAAGGAGACTCTGGCCGTCTTATCTCATCAGCTGGTCTCTGGCTGGTTGAAAAGACCAATCCAAAAGATGGGTGATCTGAAGGGTGAGAAGCACTTAAACCACAAAAGGGGACCCCTCCCCACACAATATAGAGTTTTTACTTCCCTTTCCCCATCAAAACTACATTCTCTATAGTAGAGCACAACTGAGATGTAGGGAGTAATAGTGATGGAACCTTTTCTTTCTTGATGGAATTTTTCATGTGCTTTTGGTAGGCCTGTCATGCTTCTATTAAGTTTGTTTTCCCTCTGAGAAGTTACAGAGATGTGGCAATGGACAGGCACACCTCCTGCCACCATTCTTTGTTCTGCAGCACCTTGTCATCATATTTTAATTTGAAGTCTTTTTCTCATATTATTGATCTTCACTTTTGGGAAGGGTTGAGATGGAAATGGTGACAGCAGCTACACATTTGTGAGACCAACAGGAATGAATTTTCAACAGTTTGTGACCCTTCCTCGTGTAGGATTACCACTTCCTCTAAAATTGTCTCCATTATTAAGAAACATTTTGTTTTTATTTTTGAAGATTACTGTTAAATGTTGCTATCAGTGTTTATTATTTTGCTATCTTCTGGCAACATTAAAATCTGCATGCTTAAAATTGCTTATTGGGTCCATAAAGCAAATCCAGGAACTAGCTAGTAAAACACAGACTCATTTTATTATAAATCTAAGAATATAGTGCCTTTATTGAATTTAAGGTTTACAAATATATTTGATAATAGATGAACTGAAAGAGACACAGAAGGATTGATTTTCATCAAGTAGCATGTTAAAAGCTGATGGAACTGGGTTACATTGATGCCAATCTAGGTGTACACATACCAGAGTTAGTGTGAGGAATTAATCAATGAACTTACTATATAGAAAGACTGTGTAGAAAACAGGAATTGGTTATGTCATGTAGTACAACCTCACCTCCACCCCCAACCCCCAATATAGTGTTTTCCTTTAAAATACCTTTGTGTAGTAACAAGAAAAGTAAGATTTTTCATAGTATGTATATCTGAACCTCAGTTCCTCTTTCTTTTAGAGAATGATTCAAAAATGATTGACAATAAAACAACCTACTGTGTAGGTAGTAATTGCTTATACGAAACCAGTGTGCTTAGAAACCGAAGTCTGAAGAGAGTGTGTATAAATCAGACATTGCATTGTGGGGCATATAGAGAGACTGGGATCTCTTTGTATAAATAATCATTTTTTAAATGTACATTCTGGCATATGAAGAGCTTGCCTCCTGATATATTGTTAACCCCCAAAACAATAAGTTGCAACGTGTTACAAATGATCTGTGAGTAATATTTTAAGGGCAACTAGAAGCAAAACTGGTTTACTATCACTTTGACTAGCATCCAAGAATAGGCAAAATATGTTTCTCTGATGATGTCTGTGATTTTGATAATAAGCATTTTTTTCCTTTAGAATTTATCAGTTATCAAGTACACGACTCCTCTATACTTGAAACATGGTGTGTACTGGTTGTCTTGACTATATGCCTGGATTCTGAGGACCAGTGAATAGACCCCCCTGTTTTCAGAACATTGACAGAGTGGATACAATTTTCCTGGAGAAAGCAAATCATCTCTCTTGGGATTGCTTAAGTGATCATTTGTGCATTTTCAGTTGTTAGTTTCCTTCCCAATCTTGATGGTTTAATTCTTCATACCCCACAGTCAGTAATTCAGAATGTCTTTTCCTGGTTACCTAAAAAAGAAATAGTTTTAAGAACTTAAGAAATGCTACCCAAGGTCAAACCAACGGTTCACTCCAATATTACCTCCACTGGAGGAGAGGATATGCTGGCCATTTGGAATATTTCCTTTGAAAGGCTAAAGAGGCCCTCCAAATATTCTTAGCTTCATAACCTACTAGAAACCTATTCCAACTCATATTAAACCTATTTAGATTCTGAGGCTGATCCATCTCTTGGAGCAGGGGTGGCACATAGTCTGTGAATGAGTCACCCTATTCCCTCCCAGCCATACATTATTAATCTGTTACAGCACTCTTCCTCATGGAACTGAAATGTGTCCTGAATCTCTGTCGCCACCGCCATCTACAGGGCCACGTATGAGCAGCATTGGTATTTAATGTCTGTCATTCCTGCCATGAAGTAAGATCTGGTTCTTCAAGTTTATTTGCTACTACTTGAAACTTATCACTTCCTTTTATTCATTTGAAATGTCCTTAGTTCTATCTGGTACTTCAAGATTTAGTTGGTATGTCCTTCATCCTGGACATTTTATCAATATCATATCCTGTGTCTTATTGCCACTTTATGGCCCTATTCTGAACTTTTTCTGTTTTTCCAATTTTATCGGTTTCAAGAAATTAAAGTGGCACACATTCCAAATGTGTACTTGGATACATAAAATTATGATTAGCATTTGGTGTGATTGCCCCAGTATCCCTGATTGTATATTGATTATGATAACTTTTTCAGGTGTAAACTTTGAGGCATTTGTTTTCACCCAGTGGTATAGATCTGGCTGATTATCCATTGTTACCATCAAAGACTGTAATTTTTGAAAATAGTTAACTTTAGGCTAAAAGTCATCCAAGGCATTTTCCCCAAAGTTATATATATATATATATGTAAAAAATAGTCTATGTAAGCTATATATAATCTGGTTAAAGACAAATCATTTTCCTTCATAAAACAAAATTATTTTAGTAAAATTAGTTGATTAAATGAATATCTTAAAACAGACATCTAGGACACCAGAAGAAACATTTATCTTAAAATAAACTTTTAGGAATTTTTGAAGTTATTCACTGCTTACAAATCATGTCTCTTCTACATATTTTTCTACATATTTTTGGTTTAGCTGATTATTTTAAATCAAAAGATATTTTTAAATTAAATAAAATTATTCAATGCCAGGACTGTAAATTATTATTGTAAAATTTCAACCTTGTTGAAATGCATTTGATAAATCACATGTATACTTTTATAAGAAAAGATTGAGAATATCATAAAATACTTGGATTTTTTTTTTTTTTTTTTTTTTGACAGAGTCTCACTCTGTTGCCCGGGCTAGAGTGCAGTGGCCTAATCATAGCTCACTCCAACCTCAAACTCCTAGGCTCAAGTGATGCTCCTGTCTCAGCCTCCCAAATAGCTGGGACTATAGGTGCGTGTACCGGGCCCTACCAATTTTTCTATTCTTCATAGAGTGGGGTCTCTCTCTTGCTCAGGCAGGTCTTGAACTCCTGACCTTGAGCAATCCTCCTGCTTTGGCCTCTCAAAGTGCTAGGATTACAGGTGTGAGCCACCACCCCTGGCCTTGAATTGCTTTTGTTATTCTGTTGTTTTGTCTACACATTTCAGTTAACTCTAGCCTTCTGTATCTATCTTTCTTTCACAAGGAAATATTTTTTTCTCTCCTTAAAACAGTAAATTAAAAAGCTGGCAAATAAAGGAAAAGTGCTTTACTTATTTCTATATAAAACAAGAGTCAGGTACAGAAATGTTTTAAATTTCCTTCAAAATTCAAATTCAGTAATTAAAACCAACATATAAAAGGATGAATTTACCTTGTTATTTTGTTGACGTTGGAACTTTTTAACATGGGCTTTGTATGCTTGATTGTTAGAGTGATTTGGTGACCTACAAAAGAAAGCAAAAATATGATACCTATTTCCCGGGCTTATCAACAGCTTTCTACAATTTTAGTTTTAAAATTATGACAAGTGAAAAATGGATAGCATATTTTTGCAGATGTCTTCCATTTGAGTTGCAGGAAGTATGCTTCTGCATTCCCCCTGAGTTTTGCCTTTCAGTTGCGTTACTATTTCTTACGCAGTGGTCTCAGAAGGATTGAAGGAAGCTCATGGGAAAGATGAGGGATAAGTTGATCTTGCAAAAAGTGGAGTTGTTTTTCAAGTTTGGTTCTGAGCTGTGGTGCCTGAAAAACAACGCTATAATAGGATTCTGTTCATAAACTTTAAACCACAGTAAGGTATCGACCTTACTCCATTTAGACTGTCTATTATTATAAAGACAAAGAATAAATATTCATGAAGATGTGGAGAAAAGGGGACAGTGTGTAAACAGTGCTTGTGGGAATGTAAATTAGTACAACCATTATGGAAAACAGTATGTATGTTCTTCAAAAAATTCAAAATAGAACTACCATATGATCTAGCAGTCCCACTATGGGTATATATCCAAAGGAAATGAAATCAGTATATCAAAGTGATATTTGCACTCCCATGTATGTTGCAGCACCATTCATAATACTCAAGCTGTAGAATCAATGCAAGTGTCCATCAACAAATGAATGGATAAAGAAAATGTGTGATATATACACAATGGAATACAAGCCAGCCATAAAAATGAATGAAATCATGTCATTTGTGACAACATAGATCAACCTGGAAAACACTATGTGAAGTGAAATTAGCCAGGCTCAGAAAGACACATACCATACTCATATGCAGAGTCTAAAAAGTTGATCTCATAGAAATAGAAAATAGAATTGTGGTTACCAGAGATGGGGGGGGGAATGGGACAGGGGCGAATGGGGAGAGATTAGTTAATAGGTACAAAGCTACAATTAAGCATGAGGAATAAGTTCTAATGTCCTCTCCTACAGTAGGGTGACTATAGTTAACAATAATGTGTATTTCAAAATAGCTACAAAAGAGGATTTAGAATGTTCTTACTAGAAAGAAATAATAACTATTTGAGGCATTCTAAATTATCCTGATTTTTATCATTACACAATGTATACATGTATCAAAACATCACAATGGGCCAGGTGCGGTGGCTCACGCCTGTAATCCTAGCACTCTGGGAGGCCCAGGCAGGCGGATTGCTCGAGGTCAGGAGTTCGAAACCAGCCTGAGCAAGAGCGAGACCCCGTCTCTACTATAAAAATAGAAAGAAATTAATTGGCCAACTAATATATATAGAAAAAATTAGCCAGGCATGGTGGCGCATGCCTGTAGTCCCAGCTACTCGGGAGGCTGAGACAGCAGGATTGCTTGAGCCCAGGAGTTTGAGGTTGCTGTGAGTGAGGCTGATGCCACAGCACTCACTCTAGCCTGGGCAACAAAGCGAGATTCTGTCTCAAAAAAAAAAAAACATCACAATGTATCCCATAAATATATATATTATGTGTCAATTAAATTTTTTAAAAATGCAAATGTATTTTTAAATTTGATATATATTATTTCCAGAATTTTCTATATAGATATTTTATAATTTCTGTTGATAAGTGTATACACATTTTGTACTTCATGTTTTTCCTCTTTACATTATAAAACAGGTCTACTATTTGGGGGATACCTTTCTATACATGTTTCCCTATCAGTAGACTATTTGCTTTCTCCCAACATTCTATTTATTACAGTTTCAGGGAAAGGGGGAAGGAGGGAAACTCCTGTCTCATTCCCAGTGCTTGATGGGAAAAAGGCAGAGGAGAGGGGAGAGAGGGATAGTTTAAGGAGGTTGAGGAACAAGTTTCTTTTTTTCCCTCCCACCCACTAAGGCAGCATTTTTGGTTCCTGTATTCACCCTGTTTGGGAGATATGGAGGCGGGAAGGGGCAGGTGGCTGGGATCAGAACTCAGAGATCACAGGTGAGGGCAATATGGGATTAGAAACTTTCCAAAGAACCTGGTGAGACCCAGAAAGCCGCACTCACTGTATATTCCAAGGGAACTGTGTTGCCTAAAGTGATTGCTCAAATTATTAATCAGATGAAGTTGTGAGAACTGGATTAGACTATATTAAACTCCATCCCTGTCCCCCAACGTTCTCACTATTCAGTGGAGAAAGCTTTAAAGGGAATTAGTTAATAGTTATCTGGAGAGAAAAAATTGACCTACTTTCCCCATCTAAGGTGGCACGTACATGAGCTTGTGACCTTGCTGTCGTTGTAACAAGTACTTCCATATTATTAAAATATCCTCATAAATGTCACTTTGTACCATCTAATCTGGCCCCTATATTTAGAAATGATTTTCATTATTATCAATAATGTCACAGAGAACACATTGGGCCTATTAAGTTAAAGGACAAAAGTGTAAATTTTTAGATCTGAAGAGAAAAAAGTCATAAATAATTAACTGTTAGATCTAGATTTGCATTTTCTGTATATGTGTAATGATAATTGTGATTAATAAAAGTCAAGCTCATTATGCCGAAAAGGCAAGTTCTGAGTAAGTTAATAGGACAACAGAATCTATATAGAGAACATCCAAAATGGAGGAAAATGAAAAACATGTGGAGTGTAGTCATACATATTGAGTGGAGGAAAAGAATAGAATGGGAATGTAATGCACGACAGTGACTTCACAGTAGAATGGCAGACAACTGAATCAACTGATTCAGTTGCTCTTCGTGTGTCAATGGACTAATCTTCTCAGTAAGGCACTTGCCCTCGGTATCATTTTCCCATCTCTTCACTTTCAGGCAGGGCAACACAAATGCAGCCAAGTTTATAGTTCTTTAGAGAATGCTGTTTTCAAAGTTACAACGCTTAGTGTTCCAACAGATTTGCTTCTGAGTTTAGGTTTAAGTGTCAGGTAGGGAATCTCAGTTTTTCCTCACCGGGCTGCCCTTTGTTGATACAAACAGCTCCAATATGCTAGTAGCTGAACAGTTTACACCGAGGGGTATCTAATTTATTCCTTCCCTATACTCATGAATTTATTCCTATTATCTCCATTATATAAATGAGAAATTTGAAGTTTAAAGGAGAGGTAGGGAAATATGGCTCAAAGTCACACCTAGTTAGGGGCAGAGCTTTTTTTTTTTTGAGACAAAGTCTCACTTTGTTGCCTGGGCGTGAGTGCCGTGGCGTCAGCCTAGCTCACAGCAACCTCAAACTCCTGGGCTCGAGTGATCCTTCTGCCTCAGCCTCCCAAGTAGCTGGGACTACAGGCATGCGCCACCATGCCCGGCTAATTTTTTATATATATATCAGTTGGCCAATTAATTTCTTTCTATTTATAGTAGAGACGGGGTCTCGCTCTTGCTCAGGCTGGTTTTGAACTCCTGACCTTGAGCAATCCGCCCGCCTCGGCCTCCCAAGAGCTAGGATTACAGGCGTGAGCCACAGCGCCCGGCCAGGGGGAGAGCTTTTAACTTGAACTTGGGTCTAACTTTAAAGCCTCTAATTTTAACTGGAGTCTAACCTGTGGTTGATTAGGTTTTCATTTGTCAGCTGATCCTCATAGAAGCAAACTGTCTTCACACAAGTGATAGCATCTTGTGAGGAACTGAAATAACTGAGAGGAGACGGATCTTTGGAGGCACCTTCAGAGCACCACCGAACTCCTGTTTCTTCTCCACTGAGAGTCTGTCTCAAGTATTTAGCTCCTGAGGCCAACAGGGGTTTGGCCTCATGCTGAAGATTTGGGGGGGAGGGGCTTAATACTTAACATATAAAAAAGAACATTTAGTCAGGCAACTGAAAAGGGCAGAATTAGGGTGGTATGGGGATGTCTCTGTTTCTCCTGAAAAGAAATTGAGAATCTTTCCTTCCCTCCCCACTTCCCTTCCTTCCTATCTTCCTCCCTAGTCTTCATTGATGGTTTACAGTCAGTTACAGATCCAACTCCTTGTACTACTCTTTCCTCCTTCTCACTACTGCGGTTGATTAGTCTAAAAAAAAAAAACAGTTATGTGTATCTACTATTCCACATGTTTACTATGTAGTTACTTACATAATAGACTGAACCATACAAAACTGCCAATATTTGATGATTTGTGACTGACAAAATGGCAATACCATATGGTCAAACCTAATATAAGTACATAGTTTTGTTATTAATTTATTGCATGTACAGGATCTATTATACTGCAGTTTGCTTTCTCACTTAATATGTCTTGTTTTTTTCCCCCCCTATGGCAGCTCCAGGAGAGCCATATTATTGCTTTTAGCTGCTGTGTTCCATAGTGAGTAATATTAATATATTACACTCTAGATTATTTTTAACTGTTTCCCTATTGATGGGCTATATAATTGTTTCATGATTCAAAGGATTGACGCTGTGAACATTTTTGTGCACACATCTTAGTGCACAGGTGCAGCTATTTTTGTAGGATTAATTGTTTAAAAGTAGAGTACCTCAGTCAAATTTAAAATTTTATACTATAGATATTAACACATTTCTCTTGAAAAAAGTCTTTTCCAATTTGTACATCCACCAGTAATGGTTGATGGAACTAGTTTTCCTCTGTGTTACCCACACTGAATATCATCAACCTTCTTTTGCCAAACTCTCAAGCAACAAATGTTATCTCCTTATTATTTGGGGGCTTCCCTGAGTTATAGTGAGATTGAGCATATCTACATTTTGTTGATCACTTGGGTTTCTTCTATGAATTGCGCTTCTGTATTTTTTGCTCATTCTCGTAGTAGGATGTTTGTCTTTATTGAAACATAGGCACTATTATTATTATAGATGTTCATCCTTTGTCAGTAATAGAAGTTGTATTATATAGAAACCTTCCTGTTTCCTGTTTGTTCATAAGGCCACCTACACCCTGAAGTCTGGTTCATGAATAGAAAGCCAATTATGTCTTGCCTCCTTTGCTTCCTCCTAAAGATCTTCTTTTGGCTGGGCATGGTGGCTCATGCTGTAATCCTAGCACTCTGGGAGGCCAAGACAAGAGGATTGCTTAAGGCCAGAAGTTCAAGACTAGCCTGGGCAAGATCAAAACCCCAATCTCTACAAAAAATAGAAAAATTAGATGGTCATGGTGGCACATGCCTGTAGTCCCAGCTATTAAGGAGGCTGAGGCAGGAGAATTGCTTGAGCCCAGGAGTTTGAGGTTGCAATGAGCTATGATAAGGCCACTGCACCCTAGCCCAGGTGACAGAGCAAGACTCTGTCTCAAAAACACACACACACACACAAACACAAAAAACACGATCTCTTAAACTAGCTGTCTGTGTCTGGAAATAAAGAACTGATTAAACACATTATAACACATCTAGAGAATGAACTAATATGTAATCATTAAAAATGATGCTACAGAAAATATTCCATGACATAGGGAAATGTTCAAAGCTAGAAAAGCTGACTACAAAACAAGAAGTTGGTCTGAGTCTATTGTGCTTTAGAAAATTCTATATAAATCAATTCTGTATAAACATGGACACCAAAAGATAACAGTTAATGTGATGAATTGAATAGGATTTTTTCCTTCTTTCTCATAATCTATATTTTCTAGCTTTCTTATGGCGAAAACTACTATGTTTGCACACAGGTGGAAAAAATCAAATTTTATTCTCCCCCCATTAAGGTAACAGACTAGGTAGTCTCTCTTTGAAAGCTGATATGGGTTCATTCTTCCTCTCCTATTGTTCTTAAGGAAATGCTGCTGAAAAGCCTAGAGCAGGCTCTCAAAGTGTGGTCCTTGGACCTGCAGCATCAGCTCACCTGAGCCCTACCCAGACCTACTGAATTGGAGACAGAGCATGGCAGGGCCCAGCTATGTTGTTTTAACAAGCCCTCTTCTGGGTGATTCTGATGCTCACTGAAGTTTGAGAACCATGGGTTTAAAGAAGCATATGAATTTATTCTGATGATGCGTTTCTCAGAAGCACAAGTAATGAACATTTGGGGTCTGTGAAGTCAGAGTGCCCGACCTACCTGCATGGAGCTCCTTTTCCCTGGATGACCTCACATTCCTCTGTGCCAGGGGCACACAGGCCTGGGGCCAGGCGTTCCCGGAGCCCCTGGTTCTCATACCCCGGTCTGCAGCGACACTCCGCTTCCCCGGTCCACTCATTCTTTACACACTGGGCAAATTCACCACAGGCCAGGAATTTGCAGGGATCTGCTTGATCAGCTGTAAGAGATGGGGCAGATTTTAAAGAATGCATGGATACCTAAGCAGTGAAACTGGAAGCTGTCGAAGGCAAGAGACCAAGTACATTTACCGTAGCCCCATTTTGGAGTGGGTTACATGGTAGTGATATCAGACAGGAGTGAAAAGAAAACCACATGCTGTATCTTTGAAGAAAAATATGGGTCTATAGACACAAGTGATATATTTAGTTCTAAATGCAATTATGGGCCAGCATGGGGGTTCACGCCTATAATCCTAGTACTCTGGGAGACCAAGGCAGGAGGATCGTTTGAGCTCAGGAGTTCAAGACCAGCCTGAGCAAGAGCGAGACCCCATCTCTACTAAAAAAATAGAAAGAAATAAAAAAAAAATATATATATATATATATTAGCTGGGCATGGTGGCACATGCCTGTAGTCCTAGCTACTCAGGAGGCTGAGGCAGAACGATTGCTTGAGCCCAGGAGTTTGAAGTTGCTGTGAGCTATGATGATGCCACGGCACTCCAGCCCAGGCAACAGAATGAGACTGCATCTCAAAAAAATAAAAAAATAAATGCAATTATGTGCAAACTTTAGTGTGCCTCACAATCACATGGAGGCCTTGTTAAAACAGATTCCTGAGGCCCACCCTCGTTGTTCCTGATGCAGGAGGAATGGGGTCTGAGAATTTGTATTTCTAAACAGATTCTCAGTGATGTTGATGCATCTGATCCATGAACACATTTTGTTAACCACAGCATTAGAGAATTAAGATTTTTTTTGTTAGTATTTTTTTTTTAAGTAAGCATTTATAAAGTAGGAAAGTAGTCAGTCATTTATGTGGACAGTATTGAAAACTCAGGATGATTTCCTAATTAAAAAAAAAATTTCCTCTTAGTCTGTTGCTAAGGTCCTAATGTTAGAGATTCATTCTTTTGGATTAACTGTTTCTTCCCTATTGAAAAGTACATAGATTCTCTTCTTTCTTGTCATTAATTGTTCTATTTTACTCTATTCTTAATCCTATATGGTTGTCTCAGATTCTTTGGGAAGTAGATTAGAAATCAAGAAAATCTCAGACTATTTAGCTCTGGAAGGCCAGTGGCCCCTGTGTGCCCTTCCTTGTCCTTGTAGAGCTGAGCACATTCAGCTCTCAGCAGAGAAGCAAATGGTCGGAGTCCCCAAGTGCTAATGGCAAAACCAGCACAGGCCTCTTGTCATCAGACCATTGTTCTTTCTGCTCTGGGATGGTTTCCTGTTTAATCACATCAGCCATTTACTCTTCAGATTATTCTTGTAATAAGCACCTATTATGTGCAAGGAACTAGGGACTAGCCAACCATATATGAAACCATTTTTCTAAAAACTTTAGGGGAAGTAAGAAATGTATACAGATAATTCTATACAAGAAGCCCCCAAACTTGTCCAGTATAAGAGCTCTAAGTTCTAAAGAAGATAAATTTAGAGAGATCATGGAGGAGATTGCTTTGAACTGAGCATTTAACCACTTCTGTAAGGCGTTCACCGGCCGTGAAACCTTGCCCATAGCCGGCACTCATGGTCCGCACCATAGTTTGTGCGGTGCATTGACGACGAATCCGTTTTGCTCCTGTGTGATGAGGAAAACTTGAAAGCACTGAAAGCTTGTTTTACTTTACAGGCAGCTTTTCTTGTCATGTAAATATCAGAATAGGTAACATATACATATATGTTTTCATTACGTCATTTTTAAATGTTCACAATTTTATTTTGAGAAATGAAAAATTAGAAAAGTCATATCATGGCTGTTGGCTAAAGTCACTGTGCGTGTTCATCTGTGGCTGTTGACTATAGTCGACGCTCGTACCAAAGTGGTTACAGTGGACTGCATTTGTACATGCAAACACTGGGAAAGGCATTCCAACTGGAGACAGCAGCGTGAGCAGAGGCACAGAAGTGGGAAAACAACAGAAACATGAAGAGACATCAGGGCAAACCCAGTTAGAAGGAGCAGAGACTTGTGGGTGGGAAGGAAGGGAACTAAGTGAGACTGGAAAGGTAAGTTAAGGCCAATATCTGAATGCCATGCTAAGGAATTTGGACTTTACAGGCAAGTGGGAGCCACAGAGAATTTTTGAGCAAAGGAAGGGTATGATCAGAATTGTGCTTTAGCAGATGTGTAAATAGAACTTAGAATTTTTAGAAAGAGGATGACTGCAGAGATCATCTGTTCTAGTATTTCCCAAGTGGGAACATTTGCTGAACTCTAATTCAGCAGGATTGGATAAGTTTTTTTTTTTTTTTTTTTTTTTTTGAGACAGAGTCTCGCTTTGTTGCTCAGGCTAGAGTGAGTGCCATGGCGTCAGCCTAGCTCACAGCAACCTCAAACTCCTGGGCTCAAGCGATCCTTCTGTCTCAGCCTCCCAAGTAGCTGGGACTACAGGCATGTGCCACCATGCCCGGCTAATTTTTTCTATATATATTAGTTGGCCAATTAGTTTCTTTCTATTTATAGTAGAGACGGGGTCTCGCTCTTGCTCAGGCTGGTTTTGAACTCCTGACCTCGAGCAATCCGCCCGCCTCGGCCTCCCAGAGAGCTAGGATTACAGGCGTGAGCCACCGCGCCCGGCCTGGATAAGTTTTATAATAAAAAGTTCAGTTGCTAAATAGGTTTTTAAAAATGCTGCATAAAATAAATATAACAGATTTCTTCTCTCTCTTTCCCTTGCCTTCTTTCTCCCTCCAACCCCATCCCCTTCTCTTTTTACTTTCAAACCTTTTAGGGTCATTAATAAGTTGATGTCTATTGTGAATCTTCAAGCAGGGAAAGTAGCCAGCTGCTTTGCCAAATATACTAACCACAGAAATTCTTGTGTGAGGGTGGGTGGACTTTCAAGGAAATGCTTTTGTTCACTGTTCTGATCCAGCGCCTCCTTGTGGCGGAAGATGTTAAAGTGAGGGAGGTCGGTGTGACCAGCACACATGTTTGGGCAAGAGCAGGTCCTTGAAAAACACATTTTGGGGGTCTCCCAGCAAGGTAGGTCTGCCAAGACACAACTTATGTGAAGTTGTGTTTTCTGCCACTTGTGGATCCCTTTTGGACCATCAGGCCTGGATAGTGTGAACCGGCTTTCCCTGCCTCACAGTTCTCAAAGCTGGCATGTTAGTTGAGGGATCCTTGTCACCGTTTAGGAACTAACTCAAATTCTCATTGACAACCCATGATTTCATGTCCAGGGCCTGGTTTAGTAAATAACAGCCGTCAGCAACTTTACACTCACAATTCTAGTCTTGAAAACAGAAGCTGAGAGGGAATAGTCAGAAGTTCCATTTCCTTCTCCCTGCAGTGGAGAAATATATTTAACTTGGAAAGCTGATGAATGCACGGATTCTGTGACTGAGGAATAATGGGAAATGTGTGATAACCAAAAGAGTCTCTCCGTGAAAGTATATATTTATATTTTACCATCATTTCCTTTAGTCCAGCCGGGAATAGTCTATGTATCAGTAAAGCTGCATAGAACACAGGAAGGCATCACTGGAGAAATGAATTTATCCAAATGTGGGGGTCCTGAATTGTGTATATTTGAAGAATAAATGCAACCAGTTAATAAAATACTTGCTTTCCCCATGTTATTTATTTAGGACCAGTCTACAGAGAAGAAGTAGGAAACTTTAAATCACCGAGCTTACGTTTTGTTTGCTGTGTATGCCTTCATGGGTTTCTAAGACAACTAAGACAACTTTCATTCATTCAACAAATACCAACGTAATCTTTCAAAACCTTTCAGCACTAAGAATTTCAGACTAGCTAATTGTTTTAGATTTTTATTTTATCCATGTTTAAAATTTTACATTTCGGATAGAATTTTAGAGCTAGGAGGTATTTTAGAGACCTTCTAAACTAATTTGTCCACTTTACAGATGAGGAGTAAAGTGAGCAAATTAGAGCTGAGGGCCAGAAAAGCTGATTGTGGCCCATGTTATGCCTCTTTGTGTCAAGTCCCCTGAGGGGTCTCACTCCTATCTGTGAGAAGTTCCAGGGAAGGGAAGAGCCCCAAGGGAGAACTGTTGGACCGTCTCCTAATATGGCAAGTGAAGGCAATTGCAGATAAAGTCAAAACAGAAGAGACCATATTTACAACATTAATTTGTGAAGCAACTCTTATTACCCTAAAAATATTTCCCGTCTGTATTTTGATGACCCTCTATATTTAAATGTCATTTTTCAAGGGGCAACTGAAACTTTGGGCTTTAGGCAAAGACTGAGAATTGGATGTGTGTTGATTCTGGGGAGGAAGAGCCATGAAAGTGATAGAAGAAAAAAGACTGGTTCTATTAATATGATGAATGGAAGTTTAACTTGCAGGACTTTCTTAAGCAAAGCTTTCCCGATGTGGTTATCATTTTCTTTCTCTGTCATATCCCAAAGACTTTTCTCCTTAGAATGATGGACTCATTCCTGGGTAGGCCATACAATTATTTGTCTCTTCGTTGACACGTCCCCAAGCATTTGTACAAAACAAATTAGTCGGAACTTCCCATTTTTTACTGTTGATTTGCTCAATAATAATCTACACATTATGTAGACTTGTGATCAACAAATTTGAAAGGAAAAAAGGTGCCATTTTCTAGGAGAATATTTTCAAGTCATAATCAAAATTGTTAGTGGATCTGAGGAAGTGAAATCCTCACGATTGGTGTGTAGACTAATTGGTCTATGATTGCTTTAGCTTCCTGGATTTGCTTAAATCCCCTTTTGATTATTGTTTATTTGATTATTGTTATGGTTTGATTATTGTTATGGTTGACACTATAGAGAGGTTTCACCATGAGCCTGTATGGGCCACATTCAATAAATACCTAGTATGGTTTAGGGTATCCTCTGGGCTTATTATAATTGTTTGCTGACAAAATAACTTAATTTTCTGTTCTTCATCCATGTGGATAGCTCTTCTGCAGAGCAGATTTGAAATCTCTCCACAGAAGCAGCTCAGGGCACTTGGCTTGGCGAGTCAGACAGTGTCAGTAGCTTCTAGTT